CTGCGCGCGCTGTGTGTACCCGGACGCTGATTCGCTAATATTAAGGCCTACAAGTAGGCCTACTCAGAATTTGCACAGGGGTATTTTCGTGGTTGCCCTGCACAAGCCTCCTTCCCGACCCGATTAATGTGTGTATACCTTAGGATATTTATTATCACCTGTAGCTCTGGGAATCTTTGTCGAAATTCCAAAGTTTTGCCGTGGGAAATTTAGGTCAATTGTGATAAGGTACTGCATGCTATAAGGCTTACTTTAGTTCATCGACAGGAGTAAGGTGTGGTTTTTCAACTGCAGTATCCCTGCGTTAGATAAATATAAAACTCTAGAAAAAATAGAGGCCTGTAGTTGTGATTAGGCATTATCCTTTGCAATTATGATTAGGCATGTACTTTCCCTGTGTGTTCCATAGTGAGCTTAATTTTTATGTTTTACTGTGCTTTTACTGGCTATTTTTTTTAGCTTGGTTACCTTATGCCTCAATACTGTACTTGTCTATGTCTTGGCATACTGTATTTTAGTTTAAATCAGGGAGTTTAATATCTATTTTATAAATGTGTCCCAAAGAGATTCACTACTTTTCATTACGTCTCTCACTGTGTCTAATGCTATTGTGTATTTCAAAATAGAATACTGAGTGGTTCTTAAAATACTTAATATTGGAGCTAAAGTATGTGTAATTTATTTCATTATTTTGTGAATGAGATACGACAGATCCTGCGAAAACATCTGTTATCTGTCACTCAATATGCAATAATTGCCGTTACTCCCCGTCAAGTACGGTAGTTAACCAAACCATGTACACTTTTTAACTGGGAAGCCGATTTTTAGCATGTTTGATATATCCAGCCGGAGTTCATGACCCCCATTTCTCAATCCGAGCTTTCCATTAAAATTTTTACTCGGTGTGATCGCGGAATGCATAGGCCTCCTTAGTGGTCTTCTCCGCTGAGTGTTTCTTCATGGGGCCCATCAACAGGTGGCGAAGGAGATTCGTTCTCACTTTCTATTCCACTGCGTAAATTTACAACCCAGACCGAGCCCCTGACATGCATTGTGTTAACCCCTCTCCCACTAGGGGTTTTTTCAGCATACGCGTTACACGAGTTTGCCGAGTTGCTAACTCGGCAGAAACTCGTAGGACGATTCGGAAAGCTCGGGGAGAACTCTTACCTTCTCGTAGCAGCTCTGAACTCGTGGCGCTAATTTTGAACATAAAAAGTAAAATAAGCGCCACGAGTTAACTCGTTGTAAACGTAAGGTAGCTCGTAGATAGGGTATCTAGCTCGTACACTACTCTGGATACTCGTCGGCGGCCCCTTTGTCATCTACGAGTTTGATGCGAGCACCCCTAAACGTACGAGTATGAGTAGTACGTGCGCACCGAGTTGGCTCGTACCTAACTAGTATCTAATTCGGTACAAACTTGTTACGCTCGTAATAATCTCGTAGTTAACTCGGTGCTCTGCTCGGCATAATTGGTACATAACTCATAACCAACTCCATAAGGTCGTCCCTCATTCGTAGCAAACACGCAATAAGCTCCTATAGGTCCTTTCCAATTGTAAGACCAAAATTTACCCCCAACAATTAAAATCAACTAAAATGGGACTTGAGCCCGGACTTGAGGTAGTGTAGTTTTGTTATGTAGACCTACATTGGTGTACCGGTAGTTTTAATGAACCGTGGTTTAGCACTATACAGCATATCATATTCCTTCTTGACAATAGTGTTTTTCGTATACAATTCAGCAACTAATGTTATGGGGTGTGTGTGGAGGAACAGATTATATGGCTATAAACGCAATATAAAAACCTGCAATTAGGCCTATTGGCACTTCAAAATTAAAATGCTTCTCGACAGATGCAATTTCGAGTAAAGATATAAATGAGTTTGAAATCGGCCCAGCTTCGTCAAGGAGGCGTAAAATAACCCTTCATTACTGTACTATAGAATTATGTAGGCGATCATAGCGTTGGTGTTACAATACCAGGTTCTTTACTATATGACAGTGGTTTGACCTTGTAAATAACGCTAAGGAATTCCGAGTATGACAGTAATAGAAATCCGAAATAATACAGTGTATTAAAAGCTTGTGAAAAAATTCGAGTAATTTAATTATGTTTATGTTGATTATCGATGGTTTTGACAGCTTTGTGACTGTCACTGAATGCGCATTATATTGGTTTACTACCGTGTCCCTTTTGAGTTAAAGCGACTTTTAAATTTTTGAGGAGAAATTCTGCCCACAACACTTGAGGATTAAAGCATACTTAAACCACGGAACGTCATAATGACTCAATGCAGATTATTAGGCCTATCATTTCGTATAGTGTAATCAGTTTTTATATAATATATAAAAACTGATTGCAGTTTGCAAAATGATATGCTAAACAAGTTATGACACTTGAAACAGGGGGAGATCGCCGGCGGAAGGAAGGCATTTTATTGGTGATTATTATTACGGAACATTATGCTTTAATAAGGTTAGGTTTTCTCGACTAGAAAATGAAGCCCGAAACTTTTCACACATGTCTTCTATTCATCATGTCAATGGCACCAGCAGTGTGGTTGGGGGGGGGGGGCAAGGTAATACCCCGTCGGACAGGCCTGGACCCCGTCTTTTCGGAGGTCATCAGATCTATAAAAAAATTAATAATAATAACTTCCCATCCAAATAACGTTATTTTGATGGACATTTCCTAATTGTGGTCTAAAAAGCAACTTGGGCCATAAAACCTCTCCCTGTGAATCCTATCAGGGATTTTTTTTTTATCCGGGACCCGGGTCGAGGCTCTAGTCGGCCCCTTGGCTCCGACCGTCCGCCGAGCATGTCGGACCCCATGGCGTCAAATTTCTGGAGCCGTCGTTGACTGTAACTAACAGTGTTCTCCGGATGGGTACGGTATATTTCTCAGCCTCAAACTTCGAAACGCCGAATCGTTAAATTCAGTTCGTATGCTGTGGGCATACGGCAGTGTGTATGATGACTTATCAATATTTCAAGGTCTAGGCATTTCATCCAAATATTGAATTCGTTCTGTCAGTTAAAAATTAACCTGTCTTGGGAAGGAAGTTAGTGATAACAAAATCTAAATTTCGGTTACTGTATGAAGGAAACTATAGTGCAACATTATCATGAAATAGTACGAAAGTCACGTGCATATAAAGATGTATGTTTCCTGTCACAGTCTCTTCTTGCGGCTTTGTAAGTCACAATCTTAACGAGAGGATGCCGAGCGCCACTTAAACTTGAAGGTCCGGCCAAGATCCATTCTTATCATGTTGGTAGCAAGACTTATACTCCACTAGATACCATCGCGCACATGTGGAATTGTAGAAACTTAGGTTTAAATCCGAAAGAGCGCTTTATCTAGCATTTTGTATGATGCTATAGATAGGCTGAACGTAGTGGTTTTGTTCGGTGTCATGTAGCCGATCCGTTGGGTAAGCAATAAAGTGTTTCAGCTCAAAACTTTATAAGTTATAGATATGTTTGTTTTTGTTTACCCATTATAAATACCATGGCCGTTAACATGAACCAACTGCTACTGTATACTAGTAGTATGCTACCAGAGCTCTTCCCCTGGATCCAACTCAGGGGCGGATTTAGGGGGGGGGGCTTTTGGAAGGTAAAAAAAAGAAAAAAAAAAGGAAAAAAGAAAGTAAAAGAAAAAAATGATAGCCCACAACGCCTCAAATGTTATTTTCGGGCGTCTAGAACCTAGAACAAAAAAATTTCGCGGGGGCATGCCCCCGGACCCCCTAGGACATTGTTGTCTCGATCGGCCCAAATTTCGCCCCCCCCCCCTTTTTGGACATCTCTGGATCCGCCCCTGCAACTAGTGTGCTTAAGCGTCCCGTGACCACTGGTACTATGTAACCCCGTGGTTTCATTCAAACCATAGTACGGTACTTTACGAAGAAGAAACAGGGAATACGAAGGAAGCCGAGGCTTTCATTTGTTTGTACCAATGCCAACGTTGTAAACAAGCAGTGTACTAGCAAATATAAGCTATTACATCATAATAAACAAGACTCATTTTCTTGTTTAGTTTAAAGTTTGGAGGGAATAATAACTTCCTCTCTTGTATACAAAATTAACAACTCGAGAGTAATCACAGATAGGCTAGTGTTTTATTATTTCATGTTTACAGAACAAAGAGTAGGCTTACGGCATAGTCAAACAGAATTTTTTACCGGTATTACGTAATTTTGTTTCGTTTTATTATAATATTACTAATATGATATTTTATTAAAATTTAACAGGCTTAGTGTTAAAGCTTTTGTCTCCTGATACCTTATTATATTGCCTTGCTCGACACGTTACCAAATACAAGGACATTGAAAACGTGTTTTGGTATACAATTCCAATACTGATACCATGACTTTACAACCGGGTTTTCCGAGTAGCTGCTGGGTTTTCTCAATATCACCGGAAATTCCACGTCAATTGTTTTTGTCTGCATTTTAAAAGGGGGTAAAGGTAAAGGTAGGAGAATAACCCATAACTTGCAGCGTCATTGTGCTGAATTGCGTATGGGCGTGGTCCGTGACTACCTAGCAGCCGTAAAGAGGCGCTTCTTGGTAGATACATGTTCACATCATTCCACAACGACAGGGGCTGAAATGAACCATAACATCGGGGTAACCCCCTACTCTTCCGAAAGATGCAATGGGTTGGACCTCCTTTTTAAGTCCTTATCCGAGAATACTTGGTTCTACCAATCGAACCATGGGCGAGGAGCGGCTGGAACCAGCGCCGATGTTAAAGGCTGTAGCTAGCCCTTACCGCTCGGCCACTCGACTCCACGCAGTGTGCGTCCAGATATATTTTAAGTGAACCACGAATTTTGCAAACTTTAAAGCCCCTCTCTAAAGTTTCTTGTTCTCCCCTCTGCCTTGTACTTCCTCTCTCAGAAGTCACTACACTCTTCTTTCTAATTATTACCGTATATTATTAGAATAATAACTGTTGCAATTATTACTTTTATTGTTTTTAGGCAAACACAAACACCATCTGAGGTCGAAACTCGCAAGGAATACATCACAGAATCCGTCCTTAGTAAGGTAAACTTAGATGCTTTGAATGAAAAAGATGATTCTAACACCTTTAAAAGCAACATCGAAAATTATATTGGTACTGTGAAGGTGCCAGTTGGTGCCGTACAGGTAAAAGTAAATGGCAGTCATGCCAACGGGAGTTACACTGTCCCGTTGGCAACGACAGAAACATCCTTGGTCGGAACCTGTAACAGAGGATGTCAACTGATAAATATGTGTGGTGGTATTGAATCTGTAGTTATGAAGAAACAGGTCCAGAGTGCGCCGATCTTTCAGTTTGAGAACCTTCGTCTAGCTGTGAAGTTCGATGAATGGTTAGGATTACCGGCCACTTTTGAGTCGATAAAAGTTAACGCCATCGCTGTAGTCGAAGAAGCCACACTAGTCAAACTGGAACATTCTGTACACGGCAACAGCGTGTATTCCCGTTGGTATTTTGACACCGGTGACGCCGTAGGACAGAACATCTCTACCTATGCTACCAAAGAAGCTATGGAAGAAATCCTTAAGACAGCTCCTGTTCAACCGAGCAGTTGGGATCTGGACGTTGGTCTTGCTAGGAACAGACAGGCGGCGACTAGTCTGATGCTAGATGGGCGTGGGGTGTACGTAACTGGTGAAGTAGTCTGTCCCAAGGAGAAGCTTGAGGAGGTGTTTCATGTATCTGGTAAGTAAGCATTAAATACACAATAATGAGGTAATATATTTTTTATTGTTTTACTATTACGTCTATTTTATCGCAACTACAGTAAATATATGCATAATATAACGCCCATATAACGGAACCGATAAGTGGCCAACAGTAATATTATTACTGTTGAGAAATATTGAGAAATTTATCATCCAAAGTTTCATTTCTAAGGGATAATCTGTGTACTTAGTTCATCAGAGCAGGGAAGGCTATCAGATGGCATTATTGAATTGACCAGAGAGTATTTCATTTCAATGAAAAAGATATGGATATCTATTTATTATAATACTTACCTCTTGCTATGTATACCGCCCTCTCGGACCAAACTTGAGTGGGTTTTTTTTCTCAATCACCCTTTAAGTAAAAGTTTTGGCTGACCCTACATTAAGAATAGGAATTTCTGCCGGCAGCTATTAATTAATAATATTGTGTTGGAGACCATCCAAAAAGTAAGAAGTAACACTCTTGGCTAAATTAGATTAAAACTACTAATTGATCGCTAATTTCATTCTATAAAAATCGAGGACTATGCGTTTGAAATTAGTATTTTACTCAAGAATTCCGAAGGCCGTATTTGTGATTATATAGAAGTCAGAGAACATACGGTAGTCTATAAATAGATATTTATTCGTCATATGTGTCTGTGTAAATATATTATATTAATGTGGTTAGATCTATTTCTACAATTGACCTAAATTGTATATATGCATCAACATTTATTATATACATTGACGTATGACACTCCTATTGCCTTGAGCTTAAGTCTTACAACCATCAAGTTGAATTTATCTTTCTTTATCATTACGTATAGCTGAGAAGTTAGCTTCCTTTTCAAGAGAGTCGAGAACATGGCAACTAATCTCACACACTGCAGGTATGTGCCTCTGTAGATAGTGCCTCTTTTAATAACTTAATAAATCTTAATTCAACTGTAGATGCATAATCGTTGCACTTGCGTATGCTGAGGACCTGGTCTTCTTTCATAAATTAATCCTTCAGCTTACTGTAACTCACGAACGCCTGGTGAATTCCAGTGGGCTCTGGTGTGGTAGTATGGACCGTGGATCGAGAGACAATACCCTGCTCCATTCTGAAAAGTGTACTGGGGGTCTTACCGGTATGTAAATGTAATTGCACACGGGTACAATGGCTTAAACTTCACATCCAAAAGAAGATGCATTATCATTGTAACTTGCATCTCAGTCCTCTAGCTGAAAGGCAAAGGGAGCAACAATAGAATTAAACAACAACACAGTCTACCACTGTTCTGTACTATAATAGCTGGATCGCTCATTGGCTCGTTTTGTCGAAGTCACCGACGCTATGTTGGAGAGCCTAAAACGTCACAAATGCGTCAGGTACCAAAAACGCAATATCTTAAATTGAATATTTGTAAACTGCACAAACATGCGCTTTGAATAGTTAGATTATTTGAAAAAAAAAATCAATATGTAAAATGACAGCTAGTAGAGTGTCCAGCACACATTAAGCCGACAGACTGATTAGTTGCTTACATCAATACATTATAAATTAACCAAAACATGGTTGAGCCTACCTGTAATGTGTTATCTAACACAATGCCAATAGAAGTTTTATTTTAAAAATGTTGTGTTATATTCGTGACTTACGTTAATCTTTATGTCTCCACTGTATCTTCTATAAAGTTAGCAAATGATCTGCAACATCACACGTCTCTCAAACTTTCTCTTTGTTTGTATTTCTTTCCTCATAATTCCCCTGTGGTATATTCTCAGATAGTGAATTGATTACATTACTCATACGCTGACTATGCTAACACATTCAACTTGCTAACGACCAAATCCTCCAGCTTCGTATAACGTAATCGAGTTAGATGAGAGTTCATTATTACCATATCTATGTCATAGACATAAAGAGATCATTGTAAAGTCACCCACTGTTGCCACTTTGTTTTAATATATTAGAATATAATATACACTTTTCTTTTTATAAGAACCAGTAAAATTTTGCCCAGGCTCAGTGTTCTTTTTTTTTGGCTGATGTCAGGTTCAAAATGTTCTTATTTTGTTCTTAGTTTACACACCTTTTAAACAAAAAAATATTTAATTGTACGGCAGTATGCACTGTACTGGAATGTAGGTGAAAGTGACCCCACAAAAAATGGCCCCAAATGTCAGATAGGTACACCTACTGTACTGTATTATAGAGGGTATTACAGTCACACCTACTGCACATAATGTACAGATATAATATTTTGGTTTTTAAAAATATAAACCTCATTTGAAATTTTACCTCAGCCTCAATTTGTTCTTATTTTGTTCTTAACTTTTAAGCAATTTCAGCCTCAGTGTTCTTATAAAATGTGTTCTTATAAAAAATAAAAAAAAAGTGTACACTACAAAACTATACTATAATCTGACTCATTTTGCCGCGAGTTAAGATATGCTGTCTGTCTTCAGACAATGTTGAAGAAAATTATCATATAATTATAAAGGATATGATCAACAGTACAAACATCACAACCCTTAAAAACATTTGAAAAACAGACTGTTGCATCTTGTGTGAAAATGTATGCTGTATAAATGGGCATATTTTAAGTAAATACAATTAATACATTTATGTATTTAAGGCATTAAGTTTTTTCAATTCTAGATTATAGAGAAAGCTATGTTCGTCGCTAATCATAATAAACAGTAAATTTTCTAATTTCTTCTAAAACTGAATTATTGCAAAGCATTTCATGTTAATAACTTAATTGAGTTTGTAAATGTGCGACTGAATGTTTTATTTTTTTATGGTCTACTTAGCGTTATCACAAACAGTATATTGTGATCAAATAGGCAATTTATTTATTTTAATAAAAATAAAAATCCATTAATTTTATAAAAAAGGTAGAAAACATCTTAGAGCTCTTCGTCACATTTGCAGTTGATTGAGATGCAGTGTTTTATTTATATGGTAGGGAGGATGTGCTGATGCGTCCGTATTTCAACACTTCAGTATGCAGAACAAAGTAACAAACTTAAGCAAACTTTCAGAACTCAGTGTGAGGTCTTGTATTACGAATACAAATGTTTAAACTTACATGTATGATCTAAAATCTAGACGTAATTACCTTTAACAATGATATGGCAAACAAAAATCTAGGGAAATCACATTATTCTTTAAATAAAAAGCTTAAGTGCGGTAAATACTTGATTAATTTAAACTGATGTTTCCCAGGGTACCTTAATGTTGTTCAAGGATTTTGAAATTGTTTTTGGCATTAGTCCGAAAATTAAAATGTTCACTAAAGGTATCAATTGAATATAATTTAAGCGCCAGTAGCAGGCCCGTAGCCAGACTTCCAAGGGGGGATGGGCCTTTTTTTAGCCAAAGGTGACCTTTTTATACGGGTGCCTCCGCGACCCAATGTGTACCGTAGTCACATGCTCTATGGCATGTGCTGCTGGGGGGGGGGGGGGTTTCAGGGGCATCCTCACCCAGAAAATTTTTAAATCTAGAGGCTGTGAATGATGGTGTTTTTAGCATATAAAAGTTAAGGCTGACACCCTTGCATATGCTGAATATAATTATCATGATTCAAAAGTGTATACACAGGACGAGGTGATATTTTGACCATGATTCGCTCTAGAATCAAGATAGGCAAGAGCATTCGACTGAACTAAAAGTTAATATCAGTGTCACTGCATGAGTCAACAAGGGTACGAGATGAATAAAAGGCATAATTAGGTGATGTCTTTGGCATTAAATCTACTCATTGAGTATGCTTGTCAGCTCGTTTGGCCTGAGATAGATCCACAGGCCACAGGCTATAGGTCTAGCAGCTCTATGAGAAAACTATTTGGCCTGGAAAAGGGTGACCCCAGCCGAGGGGGGGGGTCGTCCGACCCCTCCGACCCCCCCCCCCCCTACGGGCCTGAGTTGTCTTGGTATATGCAATGTCCATGAAATTCAGATGAATAATAATGTGCCCGAGGGGGGGGGGTCGTCCGACCCCTCCGACCCCCCCCCCCCTACGGGCCTGAGTTGTCTTGGTATATGCAATGTCCATGAAATTCAGATGAATAATAATGTGCCTAATAATATTGGAGATTAAGCACTTAATAAGTCCTACAGAATTGCAGTACGGTGACGTCTTTCTCAAATCTGCACATTAACAAAGAAGTTCCATAACATTATTTTTATGATTTTGCACTTGCTTTATGTTGCTCGTTGAAATTTAAATTACTTTGCATAGTTTTCACAATTATAATCTCAGATTTTCAGTTTGTAACATATCTATTGTATAATATGTTTTAAAAAATTATTATGCTTTTGGTTTACGTTATACTAATACCGTATTTTTTGCTTTACTAACGCTGGTTTTAGTTTGGGCTTCTTATCTTTTTAAGCGCCAAAATACTGGCATTTCTCACATACAGTTTCTTCAAACATTCATCTCGAAGGATCAACGTACCAGTCGGCCAGAGTCATCGCTGCCATATTGGTTGCTAGTGGACTAGACGCAGCCGCAGTCGTTGAATCACACGTCGGGATCACGGACATGAAACTTACCAAAAATGGTGACCTCAGAGTTATTGTGACGCTGCCATCACTGATGGTTGGAACCACTGGAGGTGGAACCAAGTTGCCGAGCCAACAGGTAATAAACGATGAAAGCCAATTTATAGTTCGCGTGTATAAGTCGTTCGTATACACCGCCAACTTTAAACTTCCGAATTACCGATTAGTCAAATTTCTGGCCTAACTGTGACGGCTTATGTACTTGAATTAAGGTATACGCGCGTGCAAATGTAATGTCCCATTATACAATCGATTCGCAGTGTTTATCCCGGCCTTCAACTCAACTGTGTCATTACATTGAGTAAGAGGTTCGGATTCAAATGTAATTTTAAGAAACTGAGAAAACGTCTATAAGGATATTTGAAGCTTGTCGCGTCTGAATTCTAATAATATAGAGATCTGAAATCTAGACTACACATTTTAAAATATTCCGGCTTGTAATTGAAATCAAATCTTTAATGATAAATTAATTATCTTATTAATATTTATCTTCAAACATTCTGTCGGTGTGGCTATGCCTTTGCGCTATTATTATTTCCGTTTGAAATATTGATACATGGCGCGACGTATGATGGCAGCTGTTAGTTTATAAGAGTTAGTCTCGCAATTTTGCGTACACGAGCCGACATCCAATGAACGTGGATCCAGGAAATCAAGTTAGTAACCAACAAGAACCTTATAATAATATTATTTAATGTAAAAAGACTAAATTAATCGTGTAAATATATAGCACAGTTGGTTCATGATCCAGGAAACGATGGTGGTGTCTTCTTAATGGTGAAATTCTTTGATAAAAACAATTTTCGGTTTAAATTGAAAATACGCTAGACCTATTATATAAGTTATCATATTTTTATTATTCATACACGAAGTGATGTTTCGAGGAAACAACGTTTCAGCCAACGACTAGATGATACTTGCTAGAACCGGACAAGAACGGCGTAGGCCTACTCGACCCATATACTTTCATATTGAAGACGAATTTATTACAAGTGAATCATCGTTCACAATTGAAATCAAGTGCATTGTTTTACGTCATTTGGGACATTTATATTTATATATAGATCAAGGCACTGTCTGTTGTCAGAATTATTTCTTTGATTTACAAGATAACTTATGTGTGGACATAATAATATAGGCCCCTAATTAATAATTGATTCTGGGTATAATCTGTCCACACAACATTTATAAAAGAAGAATGATATTTTAACATAAATAACAAATAACAATATTCAAAACGGCACCGCATCTTTAAAACGTAAACATTATGCAGAGGCAGATTTAAGTGGGAGCCCCCCCCCCCCCCCAAACCCCCCCCCCCAACTAAAAAAAAAAAAAAAAATGAGAAAAAAGGGAAAATTAAAATTATGTTTAGGTCTGAGAGTGCCTTTGCCCCTCTCCCACTAGGGGTTTTTTCAGCATACGAGTTACAAGAGAATGCCGAGTTGCTGACTCGGCAAACTCGGCAAAAACTCGTAGGACGATTCGGAAAGCTCGGAGAGGACTCTTACCTACTCGTAGCAGCTCTGAACTCGTGGCGCTAATTGTGAACATGTTCAAAACAAAATTATCGCCACGAGTAGATAACTCGTAGTAAACTCGAAGAACTCGTAGGTAACTCGTAGAGTACCCGGGGTACTCCTACCTAGCTCGTACACTACTCTGGATACTCGTCGGCGGTTTTGTCATCTACGAGTTTGATGCGAGCAACCAAAAAAGAGTACGAGTAAGTACGAGCGCACCGAGTTGGCTCGTACCTAACTCGTATCTAATTCGGTACAAACTTGTTACGCTCGTAATAATCTCGTAGTTAACTCGGTGCTCTGCTCGGCATAATTCGTACATAACTCGTAACCAACTCCATAAAGTCGTACCTCACTCGTAGCTAAGAAGTAATAAGCTCGTATAGGTCCTTTCCAAAGATCACGAGTTTTAACTCGTAGAAATCGTACGACTCTTAGGTGAAATAAACCTAGGTGGGAGAGAGGGGCTTTAATCAGAAAATGTATTACATCCGCCCCAACTATGGTGGGACCGATGTGGTCTAAATCCTCCATCTGTGAAAGTCCCTGCCTGGGCCCCCTCTATTTTGAGTTCCTCGATCCACCACTGTCGTTCTCATGTGATTGGCCGCAGGTTGAACGAAGCGCACGTTATAAATTTCATAAATAACCTCCACGTTTTTGTCTTTAATTTTGCATACAATTAATATTATTTCTACAGGCTTGTCTTCAAATCATTGACCTCCCAGAAGAGAACAGTAGAGAAGCGTTTGCAGAGGTCGTGCTTGCTGCAGTAATGGGTGGCGAAATAGGAATGTGTGCTGCTATGGTTGGCCACCATTTTTTCAAGACAAAGAAGAGGAGTGACTCTGAAACGCCATCAACATCCATACCGAATGGAAATCCGGTCATTGTTGAGGATACAGAGGGTGAGGCAGCTGCTGAACAAAAAGTCAACGGAGACGCGTCGCCAGAAGAAATTAAAAAAGATACGACGAAACCAGAAGAGTGAACCCAAACTACCTGTACGATGACATTATATCTAATAGTAGTGTTTCCCCCATTCTTTGTAAATAAAATGCTACATCATCTGAAGGCAAAATTCGAACAACTGTAAGATAAGTCCTCGTAACTGAATGATCTCGTCTATTAGACGTATGCGTAACTTAGTGACTATGAACTCCGAATCTGAGAAAAAATATTTATTAACTGCATAATTTGAAGGCGGCCATCCTGTTAAATAAAGTGTTTTGTCATTCAAAAATTGTCACCTACTTAAGACAATCTCATTCATATATTGTGTGCATCAGTTTGTTTCAATGACTCAAGGATGAAATATAATTCCACAAGTAGGTACTAAGTAATGCATCAGACGCTCCAAAATACGCTGCACTACAGACCATGAAATTACTGTACTTTCATTTGCTCGACCTGGATGCCCTTTTAATGAGGCGGTACGATACTGCTACTTGACTTTACGAAGAATTTCCCATGTTGAAAGACACTAGACCTTTTGCCTGGGTCAACATATATAAAGGCCTAGGTGTGTGTATTTCTATCAATAGTCTTATTTAATCAATCTAACTTGCTACTCGTGATAAACCGATCATCTTTAAAAAAAATTTCCAACATGATGGAGAGGGATTCAACGGAGCCAGTTTGACAATTGAGGGCGCTTCACGGTGCTGTGATGGATTAATCCTAGAGAACTTGGTGAGGAAAATGTTCCTCCACGGCAACGATCTTATAAGATCTCGACCATGAGACGAGGGAGGGCGGCATTCAATCTGCCTCTGATTTTGCTTGTCTTTCAATATGATCTTTTATTCATGTTTGCCGATACCTTTTCATTATTATTACAATTACAATTTATAATAATATCTTTTGCATGCATCAATGTAGAAACAGCGACGATGAAGAGCATCCACTAAAACTTAGACCTGTTTACTGTAATACCATTTTTATTATTTATATTTATCTCGTACCGGCTATACAGTACAATTATAATATGCAAGATTTTTGTTACGTTTATATTAAAATGTGTGTACATGTTAGTAAATATAGACAATGATATGTTGATTATTATCGTGCATGGTGACAACATAAAGCTGGTTGGCAATAATTAATGCCACGATACTATACGGGTGAATAGATTTTTCTAATTGATTTTATATAGCAATGTATTTTGTAACTTTTGTATAAGAAATATAGCTTAAAAAAGTTGGAGAGCCTGTAAATATTTAAAACTCGTTATTGAAGTATGCCAATGTAAAGTACACGAAAAATAACAACATGACATTATTATTTTTTGTAATAATGAAGTAACAGGCTGAATACAGTAACAAAAATGCATGATAATTTGGAAGTGTCAATCAAACTTAACTGACCAATCAAAAAATTTTAGTTAATAATCAGGAATAGGCGCATGTCCCACAAACACAAGTTCAAGTACGTGTACCCTCTTTGAGTTCTCACTCTTTAGCAATAGTATCCTGAGGGGCAGGGATAAGCGGAAACTTACATTGAGTCTTCTGTTTGCGACTGCGTAACGATGTACATGTAGACGCGCTGCTTTGCAAATACAGGTCTCCCTCCAACTAATGACCACTTTGGGGACTGGCGTTTCTGTTGTCTTTAGCAGTTTTGGTCTCTATTTAGAATAATATATAAAAGACATTTGTTAATTTGAGACCACAGAAAAACGGTCTTTAAATGGAGGTGGTCTTTAATTGGAGGGGTATTTAATTAGAGGGAGACCTGTATTTAAATGATGGAAAACTCAAGATTGCTAGGGCAACCGTTACAAAAAAAAAATAATAATCTAAAACAATAGTGACGTATACGTCTGTGTCACAAAGAAATACAGTAGCTGCATATTGAGTATGATGATTTGGTGATGCAGGCTATCTATTTGCCTCTGTATGCAATAGAGTGAGTGTAAGAGTGCGTACAGGCGGATATTTCCAATAAAGTGAATTAGAAAGTCAAGAAGAAGTTTATAAAAATTAGAATTATTCACTAAAGCCCAGTGAAATTCACTCTACTGATTCTCTTGCATTTAGAAAGTTTACAACAAAGGCATGTCCATCGGAGTAATACCGAGTTCTATTTTAATCATTTAATATTTTCATACGTTTTAATATTTTTAAACGTTAATACAATTTTAATATTCTCAATAGTGCATGAACAACGGAAAAGAATTTATACTTTTTTTGACAAATATTGACATACGTAAGGGTAATATGTACGGTAATAACTCATTTACATATACAATATATTTATTCTATATCAGTTTTGCATGTTATTATATCAGATAATTCAGAGTGAACTATGTCAACATAATTTTAAAATTAATTTTCGTATTTTAAATTATAACCAATGTATTAATTCCAAATAATTTCGATAATATTTCTGTCATATTATAACGAGCTATTTTTTCTCTTTTAAACTACTTTTGTCTATATCGAAACCAAACGATTTATACATTGCACCTTGACATTTGACCAAATTCGAACTGGTTTTGACTGTGTTTGTGTTATTGGCAGCTATTTTGTAATGCCGTTAATATGTTTAAATTGTTTCGGGCGGCTATTTTTTATAATGCTGTTTTGGAAAAAAATTCAAGTGTTAGTTGTTACCGTATTACATTGAAATAAAATGTAAAGAACATATTTAGTCAATCTTTAAAATAATTTGTTTCTCCCTTTTTCCTGGTAGTTACACTTGTACAAGTAACTGTGGAGCCCGCTGCGTTAATAATTTACTGCGGAGTTCCTGGCCTGTGATTAGCCAAACTTTGCATAGAGGGTGACAAACTAACAGCGGTTTATAAATTAACTGCAGTATCTCTTGCTGCAGAGATAATTTAATTCTCTACTATGTCATTGGTCAAATCTTGCAGAGGTGGCGACAAACTCCTTGTTTGGTAAACTTCTTGAAAACACGTCGAAAAAGGCCTAATTTCTGAACTTCTAAACATGATTGATACTTTTTTCAATTGTTATTTTTAATACTGGTGCAGTAAATTATTAATCGAACTTCAGTTCAAGAACCCGGAACTAATCAACAAGCGACAAAGCCTGACAGGCAATCAGTGAGCGCGCCCTGCTTGGTGCTTTAGGCTTCATTTAAACTACAGAAATCCCATTGACATCTAAATATTTAAAAATGATTTTGAAGGATTTTTTCAGTGTCAGAAATATGGTTAAATATAATTTTTTCTAAAGGATTAATAGTTAATACAATAATGATTAATACCAATTGAAAACACATCTCCGCATCAGCACAAATTATTCCTTTACAAAATACAACTAAATTTGAATTTATTGGAAATTTGGAAGATAAAAATAACATAAAATTTTACTCTGAAAGGGGCCTTAGCCGAATCCCCTAGGCGCCTCGCTGCGTTCAGTGACGTCATCCTTTCCGTACTACGGACCGTAGCGTGAATAGCCTAACCTATTAAAATAAATAGTAATAATAATAATAATAAATAATAATAATAATGATAATAATAATAATAATAATAATAATATCTCGAATTTATATGGCGCCAGTTCCAAACAAGATCAAAGGCGCAACGCATTTGAAACGGCCCCGGAAATCAAATAGGTCTTAAGCTGTGACTTAAGCTGTGACTTAAGGTTGCAAATAGAGTTGGAAGAAGTTATGTAATTTGGAAGTTGGTTCCAGAAATAGGCAGAAGCAAAAGTAAAAGAACATTAACCGTAAATAATTCATAATTTTTTGCTTAGCCGTCCAAGGTCGTGTGAAAATCATGTGTCTTTCAAAAATCCAGATGGTGTCAAACAAAACTATGAAAAAAATACGAAAAATTACGATGATTTAGGACGACTTTGGTATCAAAATTTTCCTTATTTTCTCCTCTATTTCAATGTTGAGAGGGCGCAAGTCACCGAAAACAGAAAGTTCAAAATTTCAACGGTCATGCTCAGGGTTCGTTTTCATTTTTGTAAACACACAAGATGGCGTCAAGCGTAACTGATAGCACATACTTTTGTTTCAGCCACAAAAATACGTGGAAATATGTCGATATAATAATCAAATCTGGTAAAGTATGTATTTTGAAAATATATTTATTGTATGAATGGGTCGGAATAGTTATTTTCTGAAAATAAAGTGTGTTTTCAGGTAATTTCGTCCATCACCAGTAGGGCCTATTGACGCCGACGCCTCGATCAAGGCGATCATGTTACAAAAGCAACGATCAAATTAAAAATTGCTAATTACCCCAGGGAGTTGTTATAGTGCTGATTACCCTAACATTTGAAATTATAAATGGAAGAAGAAACATTTTCTATAAACGTTTTTTTGATATTTTCTCATATATTTTTTGAACTTACATGCACACTATACCGCGCATACGATTTTTTTTAAATTATTGTAATTACATAATTAGTTACGATCGTCCCTGGGGACCTCGGACCGCATCAATGCGAGTGCAGGGGTCAGTGGGTTACGTGTTGAGGCAGAACCTATGAAACGCTACTCTGGGCGTATATTACTACTGTACTATTAGCTGGATCTCAACGACCAATCAGTGCACAGGGAAAACTGAAGCCACCGACACCGTATACAAGAAATTCGGTCGGTGGTTCACACTGAAAATCGGCTGGTAAGTGGCGTAGTAGCAGTGCCTGCGTTTACTTTTGTGTATCAACTGGCGTGGGGGTAACAGCGGTGCTTATCGCATCGAAAATACTTGTGTGAACAAACTGGACTTTACGGTCACTCATAGACGGAGGAGTGAGCATTTGGATTGTCCGGGATAAGTCAATGGTCATGCATTATTATAGCGCCTTCCACGATAAAACCGTCTCAAGACTCTTTTAAACCACTTAAAACCTACAAAAAATGAAATTATAAACTATACCGTATATCTTCCGGTAAGTACAGGCCTCTCTGATATGAGGATCATCGAAATATGTACTGTGTTCTTCTTGAGCCAATTGTACACTGGGCCACAGTTTATAGACCTTATCCGAGAAGACTTGTTCCAGCTCATATCTGCAACACATGATTTACTTATCTACGTACATTATCTCGATAGCTGAAGTGTAGAAAACCGCTTAATCACCGGTCCACAAATTTCTTTTTGATGGCTCTATTAATATAAGATCAATGAAATTAATTTTATCACCAAGTGTAACTCGATACCAAAGTTACTATCATGTGCATTTATATGTAGGCCTATACTATACTATACTATATTGGCCCTTAACTCTAAGCCTATCACAATAATAGTGTTTATTATCCTTATAATTAAGAATTCAAAGGCACTCAACTGGGGTCCCAATTTGGAAGAATCCACATCCGGGAAATTTGTTTAAATGATTTTTTTTATGACATCTAAATTTTGCTGCGCATGGTGATAACCATAGATGTGTATAAGAGACAGTATATATATATATATATATATATATATATATATATATATATATATGTGTGTGTGTGTGTGTGTGTGTATATATATATATATATGTATGTGTATAACATATTATGTATGTATATGTATATGTATATAAATGTTTATATATATATATATATATATTTATATCCACATTAACATTACATTAGTACGGTATTCGTTATATTTATAACTATATATATATATATGTATATATATATATATTATTGGTTTGTTGTTGGTCATCATGATAAAATCATCATCAACAACATCGTTGTCATAATCATCATCAATCATCATTCCACTCCAATCCATATTAACATTGCATTAGTATTCTAGGTATCATCGGTTTATAACTTTATGGTCGTTAACGTTGTTAATATGCCCTCTTCCCAATATGATATTTAACAAAGATTCGAATTGGTATTTTCGATCTGGAGATGCGGAAGGGACGATAGAATGTCCGCAAAATTATAGCATTTGAAATGTATATTTTATATGTACTGATCTATAAAACGAATTACATTTAATTACATTTTATTTAATCTGTTTTTCTACATTATAGAAAAATGCAATTCAATATTTCTTTTATGTAAATAAAAATGCGTTCGAAGTTGATGTCTTCAAATATTGTATTATTTTTTTATATAACTTGATACCATATGAAACTTACTAAAATATGTTTCTCTCTTTATGAAATTTTAAGATGAGTATTAGCAGGAAATTGTAACTGATGGCGAATTATAAATACCAAGGCCCTCTGACCAATTAAAAATAAAAATAGCACAATTTCTGTTTTACGGTAGATTAGGTACACGGGATAGACCTAACGCTATGCTGACTCTAAAGTACAAATCAATAATGAAAATAATCTTGAACAATTTTAAGTTAACTTTTTAAGTTCAAGGCCCTGTAGGCCTACAGGAGACATTGAACGGTTGAGTAGTATAGCAGAGAGTCACAAAGATCATGTTTTGACGGCAACGTCCTTCTAAATTATCAAGACCATGACCTAGTCTTGGCACATTCGACGTGCTTTAAGCTATGCGTCAATGTTTGTACGACCCATCAGTGTTCTTGTCAACGCAAGGCCATGAAAGTATATATAAATCCGAACCTGGTTTCACACAAGTATGTCACAACATAATAAATCAGGTTGTATATAACATTAACAACAATGCCTTTCATGATCACAGTGGACAGTGCTGCTTCTATATTCATTTCGTTGTTCAGATGTTGATAAAAATATATTAATTATATTGAATATCTTTTATTTCTCATTTTTGTACTTTGTTTTTATATTTCCAAATTGAATTCTTCTAGTTCTCCCTTTGTGTGTGTGTGTGTGTGTACCTTCAGTGTTTTGTCTCCACGGCCCGTGTCCCTTTATTCTCCTGTATTCGCAAATTATTGTGATTTTTAAATTATAAAAACATAAAAGAATACAACAAAATCAAACAACAAATTGAAATTGAAAAATAAAATCTTACCAATAATGCAAAAACTTGCTATTAGTATTATAGGGCCTATCATAATTATCAAATTCATATTAACGGTATAGAGCATTCCAACAAAATACAGTAGTCCATATTAACTGGATGCGTATGCCCATGAACACAAGCATAATACAATCTATTATATAAAATCGACATTCTTATTGGCAGTGATTATGTATAAGTGCCAAGATTTCATTGTAGTTCTGAATTAGATATCGTAAGTTAGTATTCTGTGCTTCCCTTACACTGTGTAGCATGTTCTTACGGTCATTTATGGTGTTTTAGAATATTAATAGGCAACTAGGGCTTGATCTTCTCACCTCCATGTATGTATCTTTAGGTTAGGACACCATTGTGTATGTAGGCCTACGTGTGTTTATGTATTCAGAACATAAATGATAGTGTGCATTTCGGAATGCTCGTTTACTACACACGGTACTTTATTTTAGCCTACCATGATTCGGGTAAAAAAAGCAAACATGAGGACATAAAAAGTCGTAAAATGTTGGAATGTTTGGGCTCAAATTTCTTTACGAAAAGTTTCCTTAACATTTTTGAGTGCGGGTATACGGTATGATAATTTGTATGAAGTGTTGATGATGATAATGATGATTTTTATGATAATTGATCTCTTTTTCTTCTCGAGATTTTCTCGTCGTTTTTGTTGCATGTTCTCAGGACCCCAATGGAAATAAATTTATGAAATTGAATTTTTTTTTGGCTATCCTGATCAAATCAACACTTATCATGTCTTTATTTTTTGTAT